TGTTGTTATGATGAAGTAAAAAAAAAAAAAAGAAATACTTTAATATATGAAAGTATAACTATTAAACTTTTAATTGAAAGATTAATAGTTGAATTTGCAATTAAAAAACAATTATCATTTCATATATGATTATTTGTGAAATGTATACGGTGTAAATTTTATAGTATTAAAATAATCAAATTTAATTTATGATCAAATCAATAAACTAACCATTACAGGTAAGAAACATAGCAACAATTGCCAGAAGCATCATTGTCACCGAACTGTCACGAGCTGCTGATTGTAAATTCGATATTGATTTAGGCGCTCTTGTTACAATTGGGCGCAAACTGGAAAAATGAATGTGGAAAAAGAATTTTGAAAGAATTCATCGAATATTATAGAAAGGAAATTTTTTGTGAAATAAATAAAATACAAATCGAAACTTTTGAATATCGCAGTTAAAACTTTTCATATCATATTCAATTCTAATTCAATTAATCAGATCCTGCGAAAAAAAAAGAAATGAAATGAAAGAGATAATTAATATTTTACCTATTGGTATTTGTTGAAGAGAATTGTGAACCTGTTGTTGTTGATGATGAATTTAATATTATTGCCATCTTATTTTGATTATTTCTCGGGCTAAAAATTACTACTTTTTATGCATAAAACTTTCTCATTTTGAAATTTCCTCTAAAATATTATTAATTAAGAAAGAATTGTAAAAATCGCTCTAAAAATATAAATTAGATTAAAGATAAGGCAAAGAAAAGGTAATCATTTAATAAGTAATTAAATACAATTTTTAATTTAAATTCTGATAAATTATTTTCTTAAAAACAAATTCTTTCCCAATTTTTTCTTTTTTTAAAAAAAATTTTATAAGCATTAAATAAAAAATGATAAATAAAATTTCAACAAATTAAATTACAAATTTCATTGCATAAAAACAGAATTTTTTTTTTACAATTTTCTAAACATGGAATATATATATGATAAAATTAAATTTTAATAAATTAAAACAAAAATTTCATCTCAAAAGTAAATTTTTTTTTTTAGACGAAACAAAATTTTATAAACTTTTTAAAAAATATGACATTATCAATTTACCTGGTAATTGTTTTGGGTAAAAGTGATTTACCACTAGCATTTAATGCTCTCATATTTGTGCTATGTTTAAGAGCAACAATAATTCGTGTATTGACAATAATTAGGATAAGAAATGGGAAAATAAACATAACCAATGTATAAGTAATTACTTTCATAACAATTCCATATGTATAATCCATTTGTAATTCAGTTAATTGAATATGCCTGTAAAATTCATTTTCATTTTTATACAAAATTTTAATAAAGGAAAACTAAGCAATCAATTATATACTAATAAATAAATTCAAATTAAATCATATTATAGCAATATTAAATTATTAAGTTTCATACATCTTTACTTCATTATAATTATTAAATTTTTATTTATATATCATATCAAATCATAATTTAATTAGATAAATCCATTGGAATGATTTAATTGTAAATCTTTTAAAAAAAAGGCAAAAAAAAATTATGATTTGATCTTTTTTTTGTCTTTTTTTTATTTTTTATTTTTTTAAAGAAAATAAATTAATTAATAATGAATTGTTACCTTGAAAATCGATGATATTCATTGCTGTAACATTGAACAACAGTAAGTTCAAGCCATGTTGTCGCATTGATTACAAATGAAAATATGACAGAACCAAAAATAGCATATTTTACAGGTTTCCTAAAGTGAAAAAATTAAAATTAGATAGCATTTAATTAGTTTTGTTAACTTTAATTTAGTGTTAATTTAATTAGCTAAACTAGCATTTAATTATTGTTTGCAAAAGTGTTTTTATCCGTTACAGGAAGTATTTTTGTATAATTTATGTATGTTAAAAATTTTAAATTCTTATTTTTTATTTTTTTTAACTTTTATTTTTTTGTATAGCTGTATATATAAATGTATGTTTTATCTATTAAATTAGGAAAAAACAAGCAATTGATAAATTCAAATATGATTAAAGAAAGACATTTTAAAAAATTAAAAAGAAATTAAACAATTTTATCGTATGCATAATTTTATCGTATACATAATTTTATCGTATGCACAATTTTATCGTATGCATAAATCACATGCAATAGTTTCCAGCATTACTGTAATATCAATATCATAAATTAATTTTACTACAGTAATATTACACATGATCTGCATCAGTGCTGTTACAACAGCAATTCAATTGCAATATTACTGTGACTCGATCCGTCAAGTTACTGTTGCATTAACATCTTGATTGTAATATTACTGTAGCACAACTTGTACATTGCTGCAACATCAATATCTTGATTGTAATGCTACTGTGGAACATGGTCTGTAGGGTTTGTAACAATGCAGTAGCATCAATGTCTTAATTGTAATATTACTGTAGCACAATTAGTAACATGTAGTATTACAGTGGCATATGGTCTGTAGTATTTTTGTGTTATCAGTGTAAAATTGACATCTCAATTGTAGTACTACTGTTAGCACATGGTTTGCAACATTTTTGTAACGTCAACATCTTCATTGTGATACTACTGTATTTTTGTGACATCAATATCCTAGTTGTAATATTATTGTGGCATATGACCTGTAGTACTACTTGATATCAAAATCTTATAGTATTACTGTGGCATATAATCAGTGGGTTTACTGTAGCATCACTATCTCAATTGCAGTATTACTGTAGCACAATTCGTAACATCACTATAACATCAATATCTCCGTAATATTACTATGATGCATGGTCTGTAACATTACTGTAATACCGTTATCTCAGTTGCGCTAGTACTGTGGCGCAGTTTGCAGCATTACTGTAGTATTAATATCTTAATTGTAATATTATTTTAGCACTAAAATAATTTTTCCTTTCCTAATTGGTAAACATGAAAAGAAAGAAAAAAGACGAAACAAAAATTGAAACCCTGTAATCCATCGTTTTGCTTGAAATGGATGGCAAACACCAAGATAACGATGTACTGATACAGATAAGGTCAAATAGACACCGCATGTTTGTGCTATCCTTGCTAATGGATAACTATACCTAAATTTTAGCATATTAATTATTCGTGTTTATTGATGATTGTGTGTTTATTTATTTAATCATTTATTCATTCATCGTTTTGTTTGTTTGTTTATTTGCTAATTATTTATGATGGATACGTCGCTTATTTATTTATTCATTTATTGTTCATTTATTTACCATTCATTAAATTTTTTATTATCTACTTATTTTTATTAAGTTGTTAATTTACAGTACTACTTTGATTGTTAATTAGTGACATTATAAATTGTAATAATCTATTATAAATGTCACCGTATTATTAGCATCTTTTTAGCATTGTTTTTAATATTAGCCATCATTTAGTGATACATCATTATCAACTTATTATTACAAGTTATTATGAGAAATGATACTTATATGAGAATTGATATTTAATTTTTACTAGGATTATATTGTTTTGTTTTTGTGATTTTTGTTTTGTTCGTTTTGTTTTTGTGAATTTTACAATTCATTTTCTCTTTTTCTTGCAAGAAATTTTCAAAAAGCAAAATATAATTCAGCAAAAAATTTCATCATTTCTTATTTTGATTTAAAGTAATCATTCCATTCCTTCCTTTTAATTTTTTTCTTGTTTTATGTAATTTGTAAAGTTTGAGCTTCTCCTATCATCTTAATGAAATAAAACTGATTTATAAAATTGCATTCTCCACAAATGCCATCAATGTTGTTTTTAATACGATTGCTTCGAAAAACATTTCTCAAGTAACATTAAATAAAATTTGGATAGATTAAGAGACATTTTTGAATAGCTTTTCTTGGAATTCATTAAATTTTTTCATTGCTTTTTTTATTTGGTTAAATAATTAGTTTTTTCAATGAAATCTTTCAGACAGTGATTCTTTTTAAAGCAATCAAGTAATTATTTTAAAGGCAACAACGATAATGGTAATAGTAAAATAATAATG